AATAAAATAATATTATACAAAAATACAAAAAATATTTTTATTTTTTAATCACACATTTTTCAAGAAGTCGTTATTTTCGAATACATTTTTCCCAAAATCCATTAAAAATGGAGCCAAAATAGGGGCTAAATAACTTTTAATTTTAACTATTTGACATTTCATATGATTTTAAGGCCCGTTTGACATTTATTCTCTTTCTTCATTTCAACCACACATTCTTCAAATAAAATAATATTACACACAAATCTAAAACTTTTCAATATTTTTCAACCACACATTCTTCCATCAATCACTATTCCAAAAATATTTTTTTCCCCAAAATGGGTGTTAAACACAAGCTATATATAAAATTAAAACACAAGCGGTAAATTATGATTCAAATTCAAGAACTATACAAATTAAAATTTTGAAAAGGACAATAAAGGCCAGTGTTGATTATTAATTACACAAATAACATAATTCCATGTTTTGGACTATGAAAATATTGAAGTCCTTCCCGCCAATTCATCGTACTCTGCTAAGTGCTGGCGAAAAACTAATGAAATTGGTCTTTGTTTTGTCCGAGTCCGAGTTGACTCGTAAATCCTATGGACTCGTTACAATTTATTATTTTTCAATTCAACAGCCTTTTCTTTTTCATGTTCAATAATTCTTTTGTCTAGTCTTTTGTTTAAAATTCCAAATCATTTCTTTAATTTTTTTCTCAATTCAAACAACGTGAAATTTAATATTTTCAATCGACTTCAAAACTTAATTCTTTTTTTAAAATTTTAAAATTAAGGCCTTGTTCGATTCCCATTTTTCGAAAATTCATTTTTTATCTCCATTCTTTTCGATCACATTTTTTTAATAAAATCATATTACACGTCAATTCAAAATTTTTCCTTATTTTTTAACCATACATTTTTTATCAATCACTATTTAAAAATGTATTTTTTTTTTCAATTTAATAGGGCTCAAATAAGTCATAGGTAATTTTTTTTACCTTTATCAAATTTTTAACGATTTATATGTGTGATTCTATTTATTAAGTAATTCTTATAGATATTTACACCATGTTCTATATTCAAATATATGTACGTATATAAAAAATATCTACCTTTCACTACCAGATACCTGAGCCGTGTTTATAAATAGTAAAAAAATTAATTGTTGTGCTATTAAATTATTATCAGTATTCTTAAAAAGTAATGCGTGATGATGCACAGAAAGCAAGCTTTGGTCGATGTGCGCCTAGACGAGGCTTAGACGTAAAAATGTATAAAAAGACTTTTTCTTATTTTAATATTATTTTAAAATTTTAATCAATTTAAAAATATTTAATAATATGTATAAATTATAGCACCAAGTGCAGTTTTAAGAATTTAATAAAAAAATGTATTTTCAAACAATAAACAAGATATATTATAATTGTGCTAATTGAAATATTTGGAGAGTTTTTAATTTTTATTATTTAGGAAAAGATAGGAAAATGATTAATTAACTTAATAAAATATAAATAACTATTTATATAATAATACAATGCACTACCGCCAAAATAAATGTACAATAAACTGCAACCAAATCAAAGGTATTTCAGTCAAACCAAATGTGCAATGTCCTATAGCCAAAACAAATGGATTTTTATCCCATATCGAAAGTTTACAACAAAATCATTGAAGATGCCCTCTATAAATTAGTGGATCAATAAGTGGGTAAGCAACTTTTTGGATCTTTTAATTTATTGGCTTAAAAGTTGAAAAAATTATAATTATTAATACTTTTTGGGTCTTTCAATTCAATTTTCTCTTAGTTGAAAATTTTATGTAGCGTTTAAAAGAAAATAATAATAATAAGCGCCTAAGTGCGCTTTAAAATTATCAACACTTCTATTGACCGCTAAATTAGCGCGTAGGTCTTAAGTGTGAAGTTTTTGCCACATCTCATGCCTCTAGGCGCCGCCTAACAAAGGTAAGATATTTAGAACACTAATTATTATACACGACAAAAGACTTACACGTGCGATCCATTATTCATACGGTAATTAACATTAATAGTAAATTTTAAGAATAATGCTATGTGTACACCTCGTGGTGTATATACGGCCTTACACCCCTCTCACATGGAAGGGGGTCCAGGCATAATAAAATATTTGTAGGTCCCCCTCCATGTGAGGGGGGTATAATGCCGTGTGTACACATAGTATGGTCCAAATTTTAAAACACGTTTTTTTCAATGCTGGCGCTAGCTAAAAATTAAATGAATGACGATAGATACAACTAGGCTGTGAATGAGTGACCAAGATCAACCATCGAATTGTAAAAGTTGAGCCCTTGTTTGGGAACCATTCTTTAAAATTTTTTTTTTTTTTTTTGCATGCTCATTTTCAAACACACATTCTCACAGCAAAATATTTTTTATATAAACTCAAAATTTTTTCTTATTTTTTAACCCGCATATTCTCTAAATAAATTACCATTCAAAAACTTGTTCTTTACAAACAATGGTTGTCAAATAGGGGTTGAATATATTCGATTTTTAGTCATTTGATTAGGTTGTCCTAAAACAATGTATTGAATTTGCTGAGTTGTCTGAATTGATGAAACAATTAGGTATTTGTGAAAATCATTGTAGGTTGTTCGTAAAATAATCGTACGACCGAACCTTTCTAATGTATCGTATGGAAACATCCATTTTTGTGTGACGAAGCAAGTCGAACATTACCTTGAGATATATTTTATGCTTCTTCATGCTGTGAAAATAAAATGACATCATGTGAAACCCCCAAGGGCATATGTAAATAGAATGTGCAAATCCTCACAGGCTATTTGGAGGATTGGAAAGAGCAATCTTGCTAATGTACATTAATTTTAACATCATGGATGACATTTTTGTGAGTAGGCCTGGGCATGATTCGGATTGGTTTTGTTTTGAGTTCAACTCATAACCCAAACCGACTTAGTCGGTTTCGATAAATTCCAACCCAAACTGACCCAATCCAATCATCGAAACCGAACCAAACCAAACGAAACCAGTTTGGGTCGGTTTGTTTTGGTTAATCGGTTTGGACATTGGTGTAAGTTAAAAAAAATTACGTATCTATTTTGAGTTAAAAAAATTTGTCTTTCAATATATATATATATGGTAGTGGGTTGATATTTTCAAAATTATCGTATATATCCGATAGTTATCAACAAGCAATTATACCAAAAATGAAAAGCAATGATACAATGTCAATTTGAAATTTATAATAAACACTTCTTATTGCTTTATTTTCTTTCGAAATTTGGAGTTTTAGTAGAAAAACGTAGACGGTAAATAAATTATTTAAGAAAGAACTATATTTGTGTGTTTTATTTTATTTTTTTAAAGTTTAAGAAGACGAATTTTAAAATGAAAAAAAAAATAAAAAAAATGTATTCGTGGGTTGGATCGGTTAATTGATGGCACCTAACCAAACCGATTTTTTGGTTCAAACCAACCCAAACCGACCCGACTCGGTTTGGTTCGGTTGGTTTAATCGATTTTTCGATTTTTTTGCCCACCCCTATTGGTGAGTTAACATTTTTTTATAATTAATTTTAACAATACTTAAAACAATCAATGATACAGATTTTGATAACTCACTTAATGTCAACAATAATGTCATCCAGAAACGCACATCTAGATTAATTATGGAAATAAATGAAACTCAAAAAAATTGACAGGTAGCCTTCATTTCTAGATAACGTGCAACCACTTTTAGATTGAGTTGATGTGGAAAGGGATGAAACGCAAAGAAATTGACAAGAGTACTTCATTCACAAATGAAAGAACCGCGAGAAGTTAGGGATTGCCAATATTTTTAAAATGCGTGAAAATCTAATGAATCCAATTTTATACCTACGTCAGAAGAGCTCACATGTTCAAACACACCACGTTAAAATTTCAGGGAAGATGTTCAAAGAACTTGCAAACCCTTGTGGATTATGTCTGAATACATGAAAATAGATGATACTTGAAGAAATTGACATGAGGTCGCAGTCTATGGATTTTGCCATAGTTTGAGCATTACCGATCTTTTCAAAAATCAAATGAATTCGTTTTTAAAAAATAAAGTGAATTTTCATTAATGTGGTTGTTTGAAACTATGCATGGATTATTCTTTTCCTATCTATAGGTACAAACTAAACAAGGATCATACCTTACTTCGCGAAGCTTGTACTACAATATAAAAATTAATAAATCATTCAAATTTCAAAGTGAAAAAGTCACTAGATTTTATGGATAGGATAAGTAGGAGCGCATCACGTCCCACCATGTTAATTTGAAATCTCATCTCATTTCGTACACTAATCCGTCTCGAACTGCTAAAGCTTTAGCATCAACTCGGAGAATGAAAGTTGACCACCCTTCTTGCACACCCCGCTACGACCAATATACCAACCTCACATCTTGATTCAATTTGCACGACTGTATAGAATTTTGGGATAAAAAAACTATGGATAAATACAAGCAATCTTTTCACATGTGCTCATCCCGATTCAATTAGGAGATCGTATGGAGATTTCTGCCAAAATAACATATGCGTAGAAGAACAAAAGGCCATGGACACATAATGAATCTTGAATTACTATTTCTGCATCTCCCACACCAAATCCACCCACTTTATGGTTACTTGTCAAAGTTTGATCAAATTGAATGGATTCACCTTCTGAAACAAAGATATCCTGGTCTATGAAGGATAATTTAATCGCTTGATGTCCATCCAATGGATCGACTATGGTTATTTCATACCCACCGTTCTTTTGGTGAGGATTAAAATCTTGATTTTTATTTAAGTCAAACTCAAAAATTAGTTTTATCCATATATTTCATACAATCCACAATTTTTTAACACCACATTTAATCAAAATTTTTATTATAAAATTGATTTTAATACCAGTAAATATGGCTAGATATTATTATTATTATTATCTTTATACACTGGAATACAATTATTATGAATTGTTTTTAGGTATAGGATAATCAACAAGCACAGCATGACTCGGAACTCATCCGAGTCAAAACGAGTTAAAAATAATTAATCCTATTATCGAGAGTGTTCCAAGTCCATCTTCCCCATAAATTCTGAATACACGAAGGGTGTCCTGGTTAGGGTTATTTTTGCCCCACATCATACGGCAATCACTTGCCTACTCTCCCTCTCTCTCAAATTATTCTTCAATCGAGGTTTCCAATTAGTGCATCTTCAAAAGGTACCGTTCGATTTTTTGTCCATTAATTTTTTTTTCACGTTTATGTATATGGCAACCGATGCTGTCCGTTAACAGATTCGTATCGGCACCGGAATCAATTTGGTAATCGGAATTTTGAATTTTCCCCAAATATGCATTTTCTTCGACTTATATATATATATTTTTCATATCTGATATTAAAAGATAACCGCAAAGTTTGCATTGCTTTTTTCGGGGTGGAATCACTTGCTGCTTAATTTCCTTTCTTTCATTACGTGATATCGATCTGAGAAGGCCCTGAAATTTGTGTTAATCTACTGAAACAGGTGCGATGAAGGAGATTACTTGTAACTGATATATCAAACACATCCAAGGAAGATAAACCCTAGAAGCGCTGGATTTATTTTGGGGTAAACTTAGGTGTTGAAATAATGGAGTCTATAGTTGTTGGATCCGAGAGGCGCCGGGGGAGAAAAAGGAAGATAAAGGACGTAGAGAATGTAACAGTGGATGGTGACGGTAGGAGGAAAATAGTGGAGACTAGGTCGAAAAGAATACTTGGTAGATATGTAATGAAAGAATTTGAGGGCAGTGGGGTGTTTTTGGGAAAAGTCGCATCTTATGATTCTGGTTTGTACAGGATAGATTACGAGGATGGTGATTGTGAGGATTTAGAGAGTGGTGAATTGAAGGTGCTTTTGGTTGAAGATAGCAAAATAATTGGTGAATGGTTGGAGAGGAAAAAGAAGTTGGATGAGATATTGTTAAGTAAAGATGTACAGGCAAAGAATTCTAAATTTAAAAATGCGCCAGCAAATGCTACTGTTGATAATAAGGTTGAAGTATTGTTGTTAAGTGAGCCCACAAACGGTGGGGTTGGTGCTATTGAAGTGGAGGAGGTCCAAGAAGAAGGCAATACTTATGCTGATGGCGATTCATCAAGTGATTCATGTGAGGATGCTCAGGAGCAGGATGCTAGTCTGGAGGTGGAAGAACCAGTTGTTCCTCCACCAGAATTGCCTCTATCTTCTGGGCACATTGGAGTCCCAGAGGAGTATGTTTCACACCTTTTCTCTGTATATAGTGTTCTGCGTTCATTTAGTGTCCCACTGTTTCTGTATCCTTTTGGATTGGATGATTTTGTGGGGGCGCTCAACTGCTCTGTTGCGAACACGTTGTTGGACTCTGTTCATGTTGCTTTAATGTCTGCCTTGAAGCGCCATATTGAAAGGCTCTCTTCTGAAGGTTCAGAGCTTGCATCAAAGTGCTTGAGGTACTTTCTTAGATCTGTTAGAATTCCTTTCCATTTTTTTGGTAAATGCATGCCCTTCAATTGCTGTTTTGGTTGTTAATGAAAGTTGACGTGTATCTTTGACGGAGCTATTCTTTTCTTGTTTTTGCTTGCTTCTCTCATACTTGAGTAGAGCAAGGGGAAGAATGCAAAATCGTTCTCTTAATACAAGACACACGAAGTAATTTGTATGAATTTCAGGTCTATGATAGTGTAGTTTGCATTGTTTCTCATAAATCCTTGGGTGTTGGACTGTTGCAATCATTTGATTACAAGTTATTCCTGTATGCTAAACAAAATCTTGAAATGACATTTTTAGTTATCCACATTACTTGAAGTATTCTCCTGCTGATTATGCCCTCACTTGAAAATTTCCGTTGAGGAGCACTTACTGTATACTCATGTTCTTTCTTGTGTGAGTCATTTTTGCGAGATTGCTCATTTATTTTTCTTAACCTTTCTGCTCTCAGGTGCATAGATTGGAGTTTGCTTGATTCGTTGACTTGGCCAGTTTACTTGGTCCACTATTTAATGGTTATGAGGTATACAGATAGACCTGACTGGAAAGGATTTTATGCGCATACCCTGGAGAGAGATTATTATACTTTATCTGTTGGGAGGAAGCTATTGATTTTGCAAATTTTGTGTGATGATATTCTGGATTCTGAAGAGCTAAGAGTAGAAATTGACATGCGTGAAGAATTAGAAGTGGGAATAGACACTGATACAGGGACAATGGTTGCCCCTGCAGGTGGACCGAGAAGAGTTCATCCGAGATATTCTAAAACTTCTGCCTGCAAGGACAAAGATGCAATACAAATCATTGCAGAGTGTCATGAGATAAAGCCGTCTCTTAATTCTCATTCTTTGGGGTCTGAAATAAGTGGACCAGTTGAAAGCTCTGTTGTTGACCAAGATGGTAATGGGGATGAATGCCGTCTCTGTGGTATGGATGGATTACTGCTTTGTTGTGATGGTTGCCCGTCCTCTTACCATTCAAGATGTTTGGGACTCTGCAAAATGTATATGCCTGAAGGACCATGGTTTTGTCCTGAGTGTAAAATAAATGCTACAGGACTTAAAACTTTGAGAGGTACAGCTCTAAGGGCAGGAGAAAATTTCGGTGTCGACTGTTATGAACAAGTCTTTGTGGGTACTTGTGACCATTTACTTGTGTATGTTTCTAATGCCTCATCTTATATTCTTTCTCAGTTTCTCCTCTGTCAACCTTTAGAATCTTTATTTAAGAACTAAGATAAGTGAGATGATACATGTGTTGCCCTCTTAATTAACATCAGAGTTTCTTTCTCTCTCATTCTGTAACATTAAGTTGCTGCTCATCTTTGATAATGTTAGTTTGATTTTTGTTACCAAATGAAATTGCAGGTTGAAGGCCTCGATTAACTCACAAGTTTGTCTCAAATACTATCATAGACATGACATTCCTAGAGTTCTCCAAGCCCTTCATTCGAAGGTGGAGCATGTTACCATGTATTCAAATATATGTCAGGGGATTTTGCAGTATTGGGAAATGCCAGAGGACATTTTACTGCGAAATAGAACATCTGAAACTGATATTCAGTTAGCAAACCATAAAGAAAGTAGTGTGTGCGCTACCCACTTGGCTACCTCGGTGGACAAGCTAGTCCCTGAGAGTTTTGAAGTTGAGAACACTGGTAGCTGTGAAACTATCAGTTCAGGGACCTTGGCTGTTTCATCTCTTAAGATCTCTTTTCAGGATCCCATGCGAAGTGGGAACTTTATGGATACAGAGTTTCCACCTGATCAGCAGGGGAACAGTGTGACCACAAGAAAACAGTCCAATTCTCTACTGAAACCCAGAATGACTGAACCAGCTATATTTACTGGTTCGGTTGGCCAGGCAGCAGATTGTTTTGAGTTAAGCCAACAAAGCACGTCAAGTATATCAGAAGTTGTTTCACACAGCATTATTAACTGCCGGGAGCCTGTCAGTGGTACCCTTATCCACTCTAAAGTGTCCCTTCCTTGCGAAAAACTTAAAGACGGAGTTGATACAAAATCTTGTAGAAGTTCATTAGAGAGCTTCTTATACACGGGCTCATCCTTCAAGATGCAAGGATACATTAATTATTATTTGCATGGAGAATTTGCTGCATCCGCAGCTGCAAATTTGGCCGTCCTTTCATCTGAAGAAAGTCAGGTCCCTGAGTCTCGCTCTTTAGATAACCACAAAAAAGTTATGTCTGCCAGTGTTTCTCTTCAGGTAAAAGCATTCTCATCAGCAGCTATGCGGTTCTTCTGGCCAATTACAGAGAAGAAGCTTCTGGAAGTCCCAAGGGAAAGGTGTAGCTGGTGCTTTTGTTGTAAGGCTCAGGTGGCCAGCAAGAGAGGATGTTTGTTAAATGCAGCTGCTTCAAATGCAACGAAAGGGGCTTTGAAAACCCTTACTGGACTGCGTTCTGTAAAGAATGGGGAAGGGAGTCTTCCTGGAATTTCAGCATATGTTTTGTTCATGGAGGAGAGTTTAGGCGGTCTAATAGTTGGTCCCTTCCTTAATGAAACTTTCAGGAAGCGATGGCGTAAACAGATTGAACAAGCTACCAATTGCAATGCTGTAAAGATCCTTATGCTTGAAGTAAGCTTCTTGCTATAGCAGTTTTATATGCTCTGTGTTTACACTATCTGATGTGATCAGCCTGTCAAATCTTATAGGCACTATATGTGAATGCACCAATGGTTTGATGACGTGAACAGTACTTGACTATCCAAAGTTCATGTGTATCTGTTCTGTGTATGTGACATGCATGTTTATCTTTTCTTGCTCCCCGTGGACGATGGACCTGGGTTGCGGGAAAATTTGCATTTTCTAAATATTAATCTTGATCTTTCACGATGTTGAGATTTCCCTCTCGGCCCTTTACCCAATCACTGATAGTAAAAACAGCCAATGTTTGTTTATAATACTCTTTATGTGTGTTGGACTTTATTTACTTTCAGTTGCATGACGGTGTTTCTGTTGCAGCTTGAGGAGAACATACGGACCATTGCTCTTTCTGGAGATTGGGTGAAGCTTGTTGATGATTGTTCAACTGAATCTTCTGCATCTCAGAGTGCAGCCAGTGCTACTGGATCTACTCAGAAGCGTAGACCAGGGAGGCGTGGCAGGAAGCCATCTGCTACGGCTGAAGTTGCTATTGATAGTCAGGACTTGTCGAGGGACTTCACTTGGTGGCGAGGAGGAACCCTATCAAAGCAAATAATCCAGAGAGGGATTCTCCCATGTTCAATGGTAAAAAAAGCAGCCCGGCAAGGTAATATAGACACTCCCAGCTTTTCTTGTTCTGTAGAAAAAACTCAATGCATAATACCTTTGTTTTGTGATGTTTGCAATATACTGTTTTATAGAAGTACCATTTTGATAGATCTAAAAGTAGTTTACTGACATGGCATACAGGTTGTTCCAAAAAGATACCTGGTATTCATTATGTCGAAGGATATGAGACTCCAAAAAGAAGCAGGCAGCTTGTCTGGCGGTCAGCAGTTGAGATGTGTAGAAATGCAGCACAGCTTGCACTTCAGGTGCATCATTATCATTCAATTTTAGTATCCTGACTATATGTCTGTGCTGTTCTTGGTGAAATTTAGTGATACTTTTCCTAATACATACAATTGGCTTTTGCATCAGGTCAGATACCTTGATTTTCATGTGAGATGGAGTGATCTTGTTCGTCCGGAGCAGATTCCCTTTGATGGAAAAGGTCCAGAAACTGAAGCTTCTGCTTTTAGAAATGCTTTTATATGTGGTAAGAAAAACATGGAAAACGAAATTAGATACTGTGTTGCTTTTGGGAGTCAGAAGCATCTGCCTTCTCGGGTGATGAAAAGTATAACAGAAATAGAGCAAAGCCATGATGGAAAGGAAAGATACTGGTTTTCTGAGACACAGATTCCATTATATCTAATTAAAGAATATGAAGAAAGTGTGGAGAAGGACAAGCCTGTGGACGTGTTGTCCAAGTTGCAGAGGAAACAGTTAACGGGTTCCCGCAAAAATATATTCTCTTATCTGTTATGGAAGCGAGATAATATGGACAATTTTTACTGTTCTTCATGTCATCAGAATGTCTTGTTTAGGTATTTTGTTTCACCTGTCTTTCCCGTTACTGTTTCTGCCCCTGCACCACTTTTCTTTCATTAATATTTCTCAATTTTTGTGATGTTCAGGAATGCTGTAAAGTGCAGTGCATGCGAAGGTATTGCAATACCATCTTTTATTGAATTGTTATTAGTTCTGTAACAGTTTGAAATTTGCATTTTCGTCCAATATACTTGAACCAATTTGAGGAGCATAGTGAAAACTACTGAATTTCCAAATATCCCCCTTCTAAATGAATGCTGAGGAACTAAATGTGAGTACCAGAAAAAAAGTGAGGTGTGTAATACACTGGGTGAAAAATAGGATTAGATGTTTACCATACTGAAATCATCTCTCGTTTATATCTCCAACTGTGGATAATAATCTCATTCCATTACAACCATTTTTGCTTTATAATCTTTTCTATTTGTAAATTAACTTCTGTTTTGGTATCTCACTTTTATTCTCCATTACATCTGTTTTTCTTATATAGTTAATGTTATATTACTGTTCTCTAAGTGTTTTTAATGGTGCATGTTGTATCCATTGAGTCATTCCATCGTTTCAGCTATTGTGTTCAATTTCATCCTTGCATCAAATGTTAGTATTGGTAGTTAACATGAATTGGAGGCAGGGTGTTAGAAATTCAGAATAGAGTCATTAGGTGTCTTTCCTCATTGTTTCTCTGTGAGTAAATTAAAACTTTATTCTATAGAACCATTTTGTGGCTGAAACATAACCAATGGAGAAGATGCAGCATCTGTATCTCTAATCTATTGTTGGGCATTTTTGATATATACTTGTGGGAAGAATTAGCATATATCTCTAGGATTCACAAATAAATTTTGTATTACAAGCAGCGACATTACGAAGAACTTGTATACTCGCACATAATGGCATTATATAGAACTCTTATGCGTCTTGAAAAAGATGTTCTCTTCCAACTTATCTGGCCCCCTGCTGAATGCTTGAAAGGTTGCCAACAATTGATTTGCAGAGTTCCTCTATTTGTGATGTGTGTTCTCAATTTCTTATCAATTTTGTTCTCTTTGACAAACCTATTTCCCTTCCCTTTATCACACACCGGTCCCTTCCCCTCCAAAAGATAAATACGGAACCATAATTTTTGGTTCCACAGTAATGTAATTGTAGTTAGTGAGCTTTCTGTTGCTGTGTATCTTTGAAATTGTATGGAGTCTTGAAATTAATTTTTAAGAGATGGGGAACCAGGGACAGTGAAGTCTGGACGAAAATCGGTAAGAGTACATCGTGCTCTATTTTCTCACAAAAACCGTGTGGCATGTGTGCCTCTCATTTGATGATTAATCATCTATTGAAATAATATTTTGGTTAAAGACCTAGGAGAATGCTAATTGTCATTTAGTTATTACATGTCAGCGATGCACCGTTACTTTGGACCTTTGGTAGATGTAAGAGGGTTAATAATGTCTGAATTTGCTTCTTATAATAGTTGTCAAATATATGGAAGATTATATGCAGTTTTTATGTTTTAGAAAGAAAAGCTTACATCTACCATTAATGATCCCCTTTTGTGAAATGCTTGGGATCGTATTAACAATTGGGGGAATTCTTTTACATTCTCTTTTTGAAAATTTTAGTGGCAGTGTTGAGTCCCCTCTTGCTTATGACACTACTATCAAATTATTCATCAGTTATCAATAAAATTTTATTGAGCAGGTCTCTGTCACCAGCAATGTGTTACTAGTTCAACAATTCACGTGAACGAGGAAGTGGAGTTTTTGATAAATTGCAAGCAATGCTACCAGACTCGGGCTTTAACTCGAACTGAAACCTGTAATGTGTCCCCCAGAAGTCCTTTACTCCTTCAAGGACGAGACATTCTGAACACAGCTACTGCTAATAAACATGGAAAGCAAGCAGTCTATAATGGGTTATCAGCATCAATTGGAACTGCGCAGCGTGTTCCTGAGGTGAAATCAATTGATTCTTCTGTATCTGTAAACAAAGGAAAAAAATTATCCTGGGGCCTGATATGGAGGAAGAAGAACTGTGAAGACAATGGAATTGATTTCAGATTGAAGAACATTCTTCTGAAAGGCAATCCACATATGGACTTGGCAAGACCTGATTGCCGTCTTTGTAATCAGCCATATAAGTCTGATCTAATGTACATCCGCTGCGAAACATGCCAACGTAAGATTATTTTAATGAATTTTATACGTGATCTTCATTCATTAGTTTATTATTATTTTTATTGTTGTGGCTATGCAAGTAAGTAACTAATGTGTTGGCATTGTGGCTATTAATAGATTGGTTTCATGCTGATTCTGTTGAATTGGACGAGTCCAAGATTTTTGAGGTTGTTGGATTCAAATGCTGCAAGTGCCGTAGGCTCAGATCACCCGTATGCCCATACTTACCTCCAGAAAAGAAGGCAGCATTGGAGAAGAAGATGATGAAGAAGGTTCCAAAGCAGGAAATGTCGAGAATGGACTCCGATTCCAGTGTAATCCCTGCACAAGCTAGAGAGGAAGCTGTGCATGTGCCATTAGATGATCCTCTCCTCGTTTCTCTTTCTGGAGTCGAGCAACTTACTGAGGACAAGTTGAAAATGGATCGTGGATGGATTAATGCTACTGTATCTGAGCCTGGACCTCGGAAACTGCCAGTCAGAAGGCATATCAAGCAGGAAAATGATGCTAATTGTTCCTTGCCAACTGATAGCTTAACTTCTCCTCTAGAAGTAAATGTCTTCAACTCAACTGAAAAGTTGCCTGTTCGGAGACACATAGCACGGGAAAACAATGTAAATTGTTCTTCCGCAACCTATTCTTTTCAGGTTCAACCATCAACTCCTTTTGAGGCAAATACCGTGAGCTCCGTGGAAGATTCATTTTCCCCTCTTGTTGAATGGGATGTTTCCAATGGGGGATTTGACGATGCTATAACACTGGATTATGATTGTCTAGGTTTTGATGATACGGAGTTTGAACCTCAGACCTATTTCTCTTTTAATGAATTGCTTGAGTCTGAAGATGCTGGTGGTTCAAATGGTGCTGAATTACCCGAAATCCCAATAGAAAACTGGGAAAATTCATCTGCATTCCCACAGAATGAAGTTCTCGAGATATCTTATGATAACGAAGAACCTATGATATCTGTCGAAACTGATCTTCGTATTCCTTGTAAGATTTGTTCCCACAGCGAACCTTTCCCAGACCTTTCTTGTCAAATATGTGGTGTATGCATTCATAGCCATTGTTCTCCATGGGACAAGCAGTTGCCTCAGGAGGACGGCTGGAGGTGTGGCAATTGTCGGGAGTGGAGATAGATGTCTTTTGGGGTTTTTGATATTTGGAGAAGTGGTCTCTATTGTTTGAGCTGGGGAATGGACGGACAACATTATTTGTCGACTGAGGAGACTAGCAATTACAAAGCAAATTAGAATATGCTAGTCGTTTGTGATGTTTGCCTGAGATGGTATGGAAATTGGAGTAGCAACGTGGTAAATGCCTATTGCTGTGCTCGATTCATTTCGTAGTTAACAGGACTTGTTTGTTCTTGTTTTGGTAAGTTTGTGTGCTACAAACAGGAGGAGGATATGTTTATTTGTCAGGTTTAATTGATGATAGAAGTGAATAGCTGAGCTTATTATTTCCCTTTTGAGTTGTGGGGAAAATAGTGACTTTTTATCAGACTGAAATTCTTCTGATCTTGAAGGATAGGCTAGGGTTTTTGGTGCTTATCTTATTCTTTTGCCTGTACAAAACATTGGGAACAAGTATTTTGAGATCTGTCAAGTCATTGTTGTACCCCTTTGATTCTCTTTCGGAGTTGTGGGAAACACATCATTGGTCTTTTATCCAAGTCACCGAAATTCATTTTGCTTTAAGTTAGTCATTGAACTTAAATATTTGTTACAGTTTGATAGTTCTATCCATGTTTGTCAGTTGATTAATGGAAAATTTGTTGGGGGTAGTGTAGTTGAGTATAGACTGTTCTCTCACATTTTCTGTTGGTCAGATGAACGATAGGGAC